AGAGTGTTTAAGAACAAACAGCGATTATTTTAATTTCGATTTTGATTGAGGTTAGAAATTCAAAGGGATGGTTACGGTGAATAGATTCGAGTGTTATTGGAAATCAATTTCGTGAATTGACATGACAAATTTGATTTTGATGACGAGAATGAGTGTTGATTTTGTAGATGATTGTTGATTTGGGATCGATGGTCAATAGATGGGTTTAAGGAAATCGATTTTGGAGTCGGATTGTTTGGAATTGATAATAGTCGATGTTTTTGGAGACGATAGTTTGGACTGGAGAACGAAGGAGTGATACTGGAGAACGAAGGTTAATCAAAGATTTGAAATCGAAGGCCCTGTTGATTGAAATCAATAATCGATGACTTGATTTTGGAATCGTTTTGGTAATGTTGATGATGCGAAGTCATTGATTTTCGATTTTGAATGAATGAAGAGTTGGTAATGGAGTTTGTTTTGGGGTCACTGTAACAAAACGCGAAGTTACAAATCTTGGGTAGTCATCTGGGTTTTATTTGGATGAATGACAAACGAAGAATGAAGGCTATATTAACGAAATGTCGATTCAGTGGATAAATGTGAATGATTCATACGAGATTCAATGGCTTCGAATGCCTTCGTTTTCGTTAAAATGGACTGAAAAATTTCATTAATTTGGTGCTTTGATTGAATATAAAGAAGGGGAGAGAGAAAATTGTGGTGTTGTGAATTCGTACGAAGGGTGCTATAGATTTCTAACGAATGGATAAAGGTGGATTCGTACGAATTGGGAAATTGGGGAAGAAGAAGGCAAATGTTACGAAAATGATCCCTGCACTTACGAAAGTTTAACATCTTTTACAACTCTTCGTATGATTGGGACAAAATTTCGTATGTTTTGAAGAAAAGTGCAGAAGTTTCGAAATCAACCCCTGAAATTTCGACAGTTTGGCAACAAGTACCTAAATTCGAAAATGGACTGATTTTGCTGAGAAATTGAAGAATATGCATTTCAGGCCCCTACAGTTTGTGCAAATCGACGCTTTCTACCCAGCTTTGGAAAAGAGGGAGAGTTTTGCATTTTTGACTGTTTTGGGCGCACCGGGCCACTGCAGAATTTTGAAATTGACAATTTCTACCCATTTTTGAGAAATTTTGTCAAAGGCGGTCCGTGAACGAAGTTAAAAATTGAAGATTTTTTCGGTTTTCCGGATCGAAGCACAAAGTTTATGCCACATGTTAAGGGGGAGTTTTGACACGAAAAATTCCGAATAGAGCACGTTCTCTTTCCTTGAAGGTTTTATAATCAAATTTCGATTATAAAAAGGGGGAGAAATTTATATGGAAATTCGAACTTGAATTTTCCATATTACGCGGATTTGAAGACCGAAGTGACCTTGAATTTTTGAAGTACACGAAATGATGCAATTGGAAGTTTGGAAGTGATTTCGTGTCGAAATGGGTTTGGTTTTATTGAAGATTTTCGGGGTGTGTTTTTATGCTCAACTTTTTGGTGATCAATTTGGAGTTTGAGAAGCTCGTGATCATTCGTTGATGCTCGGTTTGTATGGTCTCACATCCTAGAGCCCAAATTGAAGAATCATGGAAGAATTAAAGATTTGAAGTTCATTTTGATATGTGTCACCCTTGAGGCTCGGATCGCGTAGTTGTTCGATTTTGGAAGATTTGAAGTGGGTCATCCATTCCTAACTTTGAGGGGGAGAATGTTGGGGTGCAAAGTTTTCCATGAATGACTTTGTAATGTTTGACTTTTGTAGACCCACTTACATGTGGTATATTAGCCTTTTGACTTGATATAGAGAGTGAGAGAGAGACATGTAAACACCTCTATATAAGGTGGGTTTAGTCCACTTGTAGAGGTGTGCTTGAGAGGTGTAAAAGTTGAGTGTGTGAGTGTGTGTTATTTATGTAGATGTAGATCTATGTCCTTTTTTGTAACACCATACATATTCAATACATCTCTTGAACACCCAAATCACCATGTTCATTGTGAAATCTTTAATTCCGCATGCCAAACCATGTTCTTTAGTCACTACACATATCCGCAAGGGCTTGCTCCAGCAGAACACATTCAATTAAATATGAATTAGATAAAAAAAACAAACCTGCTGACATGCCTACCAATCTACTTTAGCCTCAACAAAGCGATATTGTCATTCGTTTTCTTGTCTCACATGAACTCTATTTAAACTGAACTAACGAATACGTGGACACATAAAAAAATTCTCATGTTTCTTATTAACAGAGATAAACTTGAGGTTTTTGAGAAGTGATGTTCATATGTGACTGACCTAGGTCGGTTTGTAATGGCATGAAATTTGTTCAATGGGAATATATCCAATTCAGATATACTGTAAAAAGGGAAACATAAAACATAAAAAATTACAGTATTTATAAGGAATGGGTAGTTTGAAGGTTAGTTATAATATATAAAACGAACAATATAGAAAAAAAATCAGCTGAAAGGTTATTAGAATCAAGCCAGGAGAAGGAATCGCAGTTTGTAATGAATATTCCATTCTATTTCCTGTGCGTTTTTTACCTTCCTCTTCAGTAATGATCAGCTACAGGAAAATAAGGTATGATAACAATTGCACAACATTGAAAGCTGCAAAAAGAAAATTGAAACCAACTTCAACAGAAACAAAATGAATTTGAATGTTGCTATCTTGTAAAGAATTGGATTAAATCACGTCACATCTCAACAAACCCCCAAAATTTTCGATAATCAATAGAGAATGCAAATGATGTTGTTTCCTTTGTTCAATAATAAGCCTGTGCCGGTTTTGCTTGATCAGGTAGTGACAATGACCACGCGAGATGTAGGTTCATATTTTAGCTGTTTTGGAGTTCCAAGACCTTACATATACATGATAAATCACATAGCCCTACAAATTTAGTACCAACCAAAAGATTAGCATGTGAAAGTGATTATCGGTATCCAACAATAAAAACCCCCAAATTAAGCCTTCAATAAAACCCTAAAATTGAATCTAATACCTTCGCGACTCCAAAACTAAAAACAGGAAAGAAATTACACTGAAATCAAACCGTACCTTACGTCAAATCCGAAATAAATGCGTCTTATCTGGAAATCGCAGATCGTCCTCGAAAAAGGCGGTGTAATGGCGAATGTTTTTTTACTAATTTTAGAAGATTGCTGAGAAGGTAAAATATGCAGCCCGCTAACAACATGATTAGAATCTGAGAACCGAACGTCCTCTGTAGTCGATGACGCCATCGACGAAGATTTTGAGTAGCGGTGAGCGGAGAAATTCATGGACGGTAAGCTGAGAACCTGACAGAGAATTGAAGTTTATATAGAATGAGAACCGATCAGTAATCAACAACGTCGTCGTCGACGGAGACGGCAATGTTGATGTCGGATACCGGACGAACAACCGTATCACCAGTAGAGTGTGTGTGGGCTTGGAGAAAATCGAGAATAGTTGCATCGTTCTTCTGATTTACAGAGTAATCAAACATGGAGCCGATGGAAGTTTCTTTCGACGATTCTGAAAGCCACTTTGTAAGGTAGGAGTTGGTGGAGGTCAGAAGAAGAAGAGACGGGCGTTAATGGAGTTTTCTTGAGCGGAGGAAGGAGGTAGTAGAAGAGGAAACAGTCACAGAGAATTGAGGAAGGATGGAGATAAGGCGGTGAATTTCTGTGTATAGTAGACTATACCGGAGGAATAGAGAGAGAGGTCTGGAAGGATGGAAGACGGTGACAGAAATCGAAACCTGATTGGTCACAAAACGGTGAAGCAAAATCAGAACTACATGTGTATACAAAAAAATAAAAAAATGACATAAAATGACCCCTAAAAGAAAAAAGACACAATTACAAACCCATCCATAATCAAGGGACCATTTCTGTCAAAAGATCACATAGTTCACTATTCGTAAGTTGAGACATATATATATATATATATATATATATATATATATATATATATATATATATATATATATATTAATGATCATGCTTATACTCATGGTTAGACACAAGTTGGGCCTTTATGAGTTGCATCTTGTAATTTTTTTGTTAGACACAACTTGGGCCAAAATGTGTACACATATGTGTTATATGCAACATTGCAGCGTATATTCGTATGGATCTGGATTCTCGACATAGTGAATTTGTGCATCGTGAATACGGAGGATGAAGGAAGACATGTAAGTTTATGTTTATCATTTTCATTGAGATTTGACGCATGAGGAAAGTAAAAAGTAAAAAAAAATCCAGTGTTTATATATGTGTTATAACAAAACATTCATAATAACTAGGAGGTGATCCCATACGGAGCCCTTATGTGACCTTCCACTTGCATACCGATGTAGCTCTTGTTCTTCTTCCTTATCGAGGTCTTCCCTTTCCTCTAATCAACAATTAAAGTGTCATTCAAGTCGTCACCTTAGCGAAAACACTAAGTAAGAAAACTATCTTAATGAAATATGAGAGCAGCTGAAAAGAAAGCTATTTTTCGATAGTTATTCAAGGTGAAGTAAATCCCCTATATCTGATAGTTGTAACAGGCCTTCTTCTTACAGATAAATGCCCCTATTGCGAATCTCTCTCATAAGAAAGAAGAGAGCTAGCATAAGCAGAGCTACCAACTACACTACCAGCAGAGCAGCTACTATCAGTCCTAAAAAGCCAGTATCCGTCCTTCACTGTTAACTTGCATGGGATGAGTATGGGATGGAGGTGATTCTTATATAGAAATTGATTTACACCTAAAAATATTGAGATTACAATTATAGAAGTAACGAGGCTTCACTGTAAGGATTCAAAATTCCGAAAAGTGTTGGAATTAGAAAAACTCAAAATTCCGAAAAGTGTTGGAATTAGAAAAACGTAGGGTTGTTTTATTATTATTATTTTATTTTAATTAATATGTTTTTACTATGCTTTACTAAATACAATTTAAAACACAATTTTTCCGTAAATATTTTTCCAAACTACGATACAAATGTATTAGCAAACCCAAAACAACCCACCCATTTTAACACCTTTGGTGATACCCTCCCCTTCATTGATCCCATCATATAGCTAAACCTCTAACAAAAATAAAACCTAAATTACCCAAAATGCCTTCCACTACCAAAGATTCCCAAGCTATATTTAGCTCAATTTAATTAACTTTTTTTTTTCCAATTCTACCGCTAACAAACATACTAAGCCGAAGTGGATGAGTAGCAATAGAATTAATCAACTAAACAAAACAAAATAATTTGTCAGCAAACTAAAAGTCTAGAATAGAAAAACATTTTGTTAATGCCAAATATGAAATACAACAAAATAACAACGACAAAAAGGTAATGAAGTAATGCACAACGAACAAATACGAACACACACTACACTGTACGATTTCCTATAGAGCAAAAATGAGTTTAGAAGCAATCAAGATATATAGACAACTTTCATCGATATACAATAAAAGCAAAAAGTTTTAGATCATCACATATCAAAGCTTTTTCAGTAAGCTCATTCATGCAACCAATATGTCTACTACAGTAAAGTTGATTCATTATCAACAAATGTCCTAATTTTTTGAAGAAAAAAATGCTCAATTTGCCTATAAACAATTAGCCCATAACTTTATGCAAAAATCCATCTGAAACTCATAACCTGAAAGAGCCACTACAATACTAAACGTTATCAGATTGCATTACCTGGACCAAACCAATGGAATGAACAAAAGGAATCAGGGAAAATAACATCAACATCTGAAAACAGAATCTTAACCCAAAAACAATATCCTTTCAGGTGCCCCTTCTTTTAAAGCAATTGATGTTGTAATCAATCAATTTGGAACAATGGTTCATATAAAAGGTGCCTATATGTACGAATAACAACAGAAAATTAGGAAAATCAAGATTCATAAAATTTCAATCTTTATGAAATCAAAAAAAAAAATCATCCAATCAATATCCTCACGTGGATATCATTCGCATTATGAAACTGGTCACAGACGTTGTCTTTAGATTTGAGAATGACAGAGATGAATGAAGCAGACGACAAAACTTTGGAAAAATAATTACTTTGATTCAACAGTAGTGGAAGTAACTGCTAATTGAAAAAGGAATTGACCTAAGCATAGTGGTTCGTGGTGAGAATTACCTAAAAAAATAAATTATCGATTGAGCATGTACAATCATCGCTCCTTACAAATCTATCAGAGTTTAGGGCTTTTGTTGGTTGAGACCCGATTTATACAGTTGGTAGATGACGACGGTGAAGGTGACAGGAGAAGTGGAAGCCAACGTTTCACAGAGCAAGGGGAGCGATGAGAGGTATTAATTGACAGAGCCATGGTTTTTTCGGGTCTTCTTCTCCACCGGTGGCAATGTCTGTATTTTGCCCCAAATAAGTTCATAGGTTGTGGTAGTAATGGGAGTGAACAGGAATGGAACTTACCGCAAGACTTTGCACTTCATCATCTCCGACGACCTGTACATCACAAAAACACAAAAAGGTAACTGTAACAACGAAAAACAGGAATGCGAGAGTTGGAAAAAAAAAGGCGTACAACCCTAATCGTATATAGAAACAGATGGGAGCGAACACGACGTCAAATCGAGAATTTGTTCATAAAGTGAAGTTTGTCTTCCTCCGTTGAGATATGAACAAAGAAATCATTAGACGGAAAATAGAAAATGGTGTGAGAAACGATGAAGATGATGATGGCGGTGCTCTTTCAAGAAGACACGAATTCGACGAACAACAATTGAAAAGATATTAAAATGGTGATAAGACGAAGGAAAACGATTGACGATGAATAACATATGTCTTCTTCTGACTGGAAGACCCAGCGGTGGACAATAGGTGTCGAGCAGCGGAGGACGCGGAAGGTGAATGGAATAGTCACTATTCCTAAACACGATGTCCTTTAAATATGTATATAAATATTTAAATCCCAAAAACGATTAAAAGTAACTGAAAATAATTACTTAAAATGCCACGTAGTTTATGAAAATCATTAAAATCACACAATTTATCTAAAAAACAGATATAATTAAAACTGGTATTATTGGGGAAAAAAACAAAAATATACTGAATTCATGGCCCTAAAAGAAATAATATTCGCCAAACCATTGAGAACTTTATTTTGAATCCCTTGTAGTTTTTTATTTGTCTTTCAAACAATCTCCCTAGTATCAACAAATGCACAAAAAGGTAACTATAATAACGAAAAACAGGAATACGAGAGTTGAAATAAAAAGGCGTACAACCTTAATCGTATAAAGAAACAGATGGGAGCGAACACGACTTCAAATCGAGAATTTGTTCATCAAGTGAAGTTTGTCTTCCTCAGTATCGTCCTCCGTTATGATATGAACAAAGAAATCAGCAGACGGAAAATAGAAAATGGTGTGCGAAACGATGAAGATGATGATGGCGGTGCTCTTTCAAGTCTTTCAAGAAGATGCGAATTCGACGAACAACAATTGAAAAGATATTAAACGGTGATAAGACGAAGGCAAACGATTGACGATGAATAACATCCGCCTTCTTTTGGTTGGAAGACCCAACGGTGGACAATAGGTGCCGAGCGGTAGGGGTGGCAATCCTCGATCTAACTCGTAACCCGACACTGACCCAACAAGAAAATAAACGGGTTTGGGTTGAGATTTTTGACCCGCCAACCTGTTTATTTCATGGGTTGGGTTGGGTTACCTGTTTGGGTTCGCTGGTCAACCCGCCAACCCGATTATATATATATATATATATATATATATATATATATATATATATATATATATATATATATATATATATATACTGTTTAAAAAATATATTTAATTATTTATCAATTTTGAATATTTGATTATTGTTTAATCGTTTCCCGAATTCCAAAACTGCAAAACATCTTCGAGTCGACTTAGCGTGGTCTAGCCCCTAAGAAGCCCCTAATAAAAAAGAAATTCAGTCTTCAGTCTCCAAACTCACGACTCTGTGTTTCCCGTCTCCGTCGATTGAGGCGTCGAGTCATCGACTGTCGTAGTGTCGTACGCACACCACTCGTCTTCTCGTCCTCCGGATGTCGCACACCACGCGTCGTTGTCACTCTTGTTTATGACTTTATGTTGAATATTTAAGATTTTATGACTTCATTTTATTTGTATTTTTTAATTTCATTTTAAAATGTGTGCTTATTAAATGGGTTATACGGGTTGGGTTCGACCCGCTAACCCACGAACCCATATACTTATACGGGTTAGATGGGTTGGGTTGGGTTGATGTTTTCAACCTGCCAACCTGTGACCCGCCAACCCACCAACCCATATATTATATGGGTTGGGTTGGGTCAATGTATTCTGACCCGCCAACCCGTCAAACTGTGACCCGCCAACCCGAACCCAACCCAATTGCCAGGCCTACCGAGCGGCGGAGGACGCAGAAGGTGAATGGAATAGTCACTATTCCTAAACGCGATGTCCTTTATATATATATATATATATAGATATATATATATATATATATATATATATATATGTATATATATTATATATATATATATATATATATATATTGGTGATTTTAGTGTCACCATGTCATTTTAAGTAACTGGAACTAACATGTGAGCTAAGGGGCTTCATAGTTTGTACTATAATATATGTACGGGGTTGTGCAGAGTGCACGCATGTATAAGATCGAATTAGAAGCCGGTTCGATGACTAGTCAGGGGTTCGGGGGCAGCGCCCCCGGGTCCGGGGTTTCCAAAGGGGCAACGCCCCTTTGGCGGGGTCTAGGGGCAGTGCCCCTAGCGGGGTCTAAGGGGCAGAGCCTCTGGCTAGGGTCCCGCTGATCACCGAATTTTACATATGGGAACATAGTGGAAAATTCAATTTCTTGAGGGTGATTATGGTAAAACTAACGAAAGTCGTTAGTTTTGGTAACCCTAAATCCTCATTAAATCCGGATTATCATGACTTGCTTCCAAAGCAACTAATGACGGCCCAACCCTAATGAAACCCTAATCTCGTTTAATATATAAACAGTTCTTCTTCTTCAGAGGAGGGTTACGATCTTAAGCTCTCGTTTTTCATCATACTTTCACAGAATCCTCTAGCATATTGACTTACGATTTCCGTACCTAGAATCGTATGTGTCCACTTGGATTATCCTAGGCTGAATTTCTTGTAAAACAGACATAGGGTAGAAATATCAGTTCGGAAAGTGATATCACGATCCAAGTTGGTATCCAGATCTCCACCACAAACCCTAAAGTTCCCTACAATATATATATATATATATATATATATATATATATATATATATATATATATATATATCCCAAAACCGATTAAAAGTAACTGAAAATCATTACTGAAAATGAAAATCATTAAAATCACACAATTTATCTAACAAACAGATGTAATTAAAACTGATATTATTTGAAAAGAAAACAAAAATATACTGAATTCATCACCCTAAATGAAATAATATTCGCCAAACCGTTGAGAACTTTATTTTGAATCCCTTGTAGTTTTTTATTTGTCTTTTAAACAATCTCCTTACTATCAACAAATGCATTAATATGCTCATTATGTTTTTTTTTAATTATTTATGTTATGTTTTCTTTACTGAAAAATACTTGAATTTTCAAAAATTATAACATAATTTTGAAATAATCTGCATGTTTAGCTACGAGTTTTGCTGATCAAACGAAAATGCATCGTAACACATATTCCAACTTAAAAAGCCTTGATCCTGAGATTAATTATGCATATCTTACATGCAAGTTGGGGTTAACCCACTTGACTAATGTGTTCTAACAAGGATGTCGTGGATTCAATCTCAGACATATAAAACTCGTCATTCTAAAAAAACTTATGCTTTTATACGTTAAAATTTAAATATTGAATTTCAATAACACAAAGAAAGTAAAATGTTACACATTTATCGTGTTTTCAACCACATAGTAAAATGGGTATGATTCGGTAAGAATCTGACCAAAATATATACCTCTTACCACAACTAAAAGTCTTTGATATATTTTTTACAATAATTAGAAGTCTCTTATATACTTTTTACCACAATTAGAAGTCTCTAATAAACTTTTACCACGATTAAAAGCCTATGATTCGGTATTATAGTCTCTGATATCACTTTTACTAGATTGGATAATACGACGAGTTAACTCAATCAACAACCATTAAACAGTCATAAGATGTTCTCGATTATTGTTGGAAGAGATTTCCTTGCTTCAAATCCTTATACTTTTATTGACCACAAAACCCCTAGATTTTTATCGTATAAACATATCTTGCATAAATGTAGTTACTTTATTTATTATTTTAGATATCACAAAAAAAAAATACTTCATAGAAAAAATAGACTTCTATTTATTAGAATCAAGAGGGCAATGAATGTTCTCTGTTTACGATCACTTTAATTTAAAGAAAAATTGTAATATAAGATATTATTTTATGGGATTCATTGATCTACCCGCTTTTAAATTAACATTTTTATTTAATGAAAGAAAAAAGAAAAGAAAAAGAGAAAACATTATCCTCTTGGCCATGTGTTTCTGTAATTGACTATATTATAAAAGTTATTGAGTTTGATGTAGAAATAAGCATTAATAAAGGAACACAATATAATTGACTATATTACAAGACAACTTTAACTTTGAAATATTTAATATTTATGTATTAAAGAATAAAATTGTTCATGTTTGATTTTTGAATACTTAACAAGTTATCTGATGATTTGTTATGTAAAATAATACAATTACATAAAGAACGTTATTAAAATATGTTCCTGAATTAGTATTACTGATTAAACTGTAATTTTAATAATAGATAAAATAAATCATTTTTCAAAGAAACAAAACACAAGTCTATTTATCTAAAACAATGGGTTGTAAAAAGTTAATAACTAAAATATTGAAAACCAAATTTATTTATTAGTATCATCCAAAATATTTATGGATATTTTTAGTTTATACTTTTTTAATTTTGTTAGGATAATGAATTTTCGAGACGTTTAGTCGTGAGCAAAATACTTTTGAATATCTACCTAAATAAGCATATTTCTACGCCAAGAACGTATTCACATAAATTCAAAATAATAATTTTTTAGAAGAAATGTCCACTTAAAAATCTGATTTAACATTAATATTCATTCTATTTTCTCGATTCTATGTAAAAACATGTCGAATCATACATCTATTTCATTTATTTTGTTCGATTGTATTTTGTATATGGACCCAAACAACTAATTTTCCTTTATTAACTAATTGTTTTATTCCATTAATATGGAAGTTATGTTAAAAAACAATAATGTATGTCACATCAGAGTTTTCGTCGGTAATTTCTTTTAATATTAGTGATTTGATTTTATTTGAATAGTAAATATTAATATAATTGTTTTTTTAAACATAAATATAATGCAAAAGTTTTTTATATATACATATATAATTATTTTTGTTTTGTTTTTTATTTATTTTTTTATATATATATATTATATATATATATATATATATAATATATATATATATATATAGAGAGAGAGAGAGAGAGAGAGTGTGTTAGGTTCAAATGTTTCTCACATCTATTGTGTGCTAGAATGCACCAATAGAAATTTAGTATTAATTATACGTATATTAAATGCTATCCATACTTATAACTCATTTTTATGGAAACTAATTAAATTCATCATTAATGTCAACAATAATATTCTTTCAGAATGAATTCATATCTAGAAAAAATGAGAATGTATTTCAGCAGAATGAGAGTGTATTCTAGTAGAATACACTCTCGTTCTTCATATTCAATGCAACTTTATTGTATTTAAAGTGAGTGAGTCTTGAAAGAAAATACGAAGGACGTGTTTGGCAAAAGTAGCTGTTAGCTTGAAGCGGGTAGC